GTCTGTGCCCTTCAGGAGCTGGGTGCACCGTGTACGTCTGCAGAACTGCCTTGCGGGGCGCCACCCAGGGCAGCTATCTCGCGGGTCCAGGGACCAGCCGGAGGGCGGACAGCCTTTGGGAGGAAGGAAGGGGGTGCTCTCGGGCTGTAGCCACCGTTGTTCCTGAAGCCGCACGCACTGCAGGCCAGGCCGAGCCGAGCAGCGCGAAGCTGTAATTGGTGTCTCTCCCCCTCCCCCTCCCCCCGGGCTCTGCCCAGGTCAGCGCAGCTCCTGCGACGGCGGACGCAGCCGGTCCTTCTTCGTCACGGGCTCTCACGGCCAATTCAGCCGGACAGCGGCGCCAGCAGAGGGGACAGGCAGCTGATGGAGGAGACGCGGCACGGGGAGGGGGCTGGGGCAGGCGGTGCCCGCAGACAGCGGGCACCATGTCGTGTTGCTGCTGTGGGGACAGCCATGGGGCTGCGCTCCTGTCACTGGCACAGCAAGGGCTTTGTGGGGGGAGGGCGGGGGCGAGTGCTGTTGATGCCTCGCAGTGGAGGCCGCAGAGGGTCCTCCAGGAATAGCCGGGAATTCAATCAGCGAAATGAAACAGCGCAGAACCGGCAACATGCTCTCCGCGACCTTATTTCAAGCCCTTCGCGGCGGCGGAGATCAATGAGGAAATCACTGTTTCTGTTCACAGCGCCCGTCAGCTGCTGGGGCCACCCTCCCTCTCAGCCTGGCTGCGAGGAGGACACGCCGGGTGGGGGCGTGGGGGGCGGGGGAGCCGACCGACCTGCTGTCCTGGCAGCTGGCCAGACAGCAGACAGCTGGACCCCAAGGCTAATGGGCATTAAGGGACTAGCTCAGGGTCACTTGGGGGGATTTGTGAATTGATCATGACTAAAGGTCTGTGGTGGTCCAGACAGCAGGGTAGAATGGATACTGTAAGAGGAGATGGTCTTGTTGACCTGGATACAAATCCTGAAAGTAATTCTTGCTAACTCTGTTACTTTGGTGCCTGAGACGCAGGCTCCGCGCAGCAGAGGGCACAGGCGCTCCGCCCGGGCTGGAACCCCGGAGCCGGCCCACGGGAAGCCTGGCGACCACCCCCCCAAGACTGGGGCACCCCCAGCATCGCCA